TTAGTTCTTTGGCCCATTTTTTGATTGGGTCATTTATTTTTCTGGAGTTGAGCTGGAGGAGTTGCTTGTATATTTTTGAGATTAATCCTTTGTCTGTTGCTTCGTTTGCTATTATTTTCTCCCAATCTGAGGACTGTCTTTTCACCTTGCTTATAGTTTCCTTTGTTCTGCAAAAGCTTTTAAGTTTCATTAGGTCCCATTTGTTTATTTTTGCTTTTATCTCTAAAATTCTGGGATGTGGGTCATAGAGGATCCTGCTGTGATTTATGTCGGAGAGTGTTTTGCCTATGTTCTCCTCTAGGAGTTTTATAGTTTCTGGTCTTACATATAGATCTTTAATATACTGGAGACTTCTTGATCAGAAAAGTATTTCTTGGGTAACCTAAATTTTTCAAATATAGGTGTTTAAAAATTTTTTCAGAATCAAATTTATCACTGATTAATAGTAACATTTAAAGATATAGATACACTTTAGGAAGATATTATCAGTTCATAATCAGAAAACCAAACTTTAAAATGTATTAAAAAATAATAAAACATTATTAAGGATACTTATTCCAAGAGCTTTCACTTTAAAATAACCTACTCCCCTAAAGAGTGACTATTATAAACATGCTTTTTTAGGAACTTAATTGTTGTGTAGTAGGGGGTGTTGAATGTTTTATCCCTTTGATGAGTCAGTCTGGCCATTTCTAGGAGTTCACTATACTTGTTTGTCATAGGAAGATCCGGTATATACTTTCTTGATCTTGTCACTTCACTTAACCTCTGTGGGTCTCATTTGCTTTGTCAGGAAACTGTTAGATCACTGATCCTTAACTTCTTTTGGATCATGGATTTTTTTTTTTTTTTGAGAACTTGATGTAAAAATGTCCAGACTCTCTTCTCAGAAGAATGCTTATATGCACAACTTCTTTGCTTTTGTTTTGCATCAGACTTACATACCCCCTGAAATAGATGAACTCCCAATTCCCTTCCATTTCTTAAATTCTAGGATAGTGTGATTCTAAAGCATTTTAACTTTTATTTTTGTCTCCAGAAATTATATGCTATTGTATTATTATGTAGTCACAAAATTAGCTTTTTGGTCTTAAAAAAGTAGCTGAAAAAAATCTTTTCAAATAAACATCAGACCAGTGTTGTGTTATTTTTAAAAAAAACTACTTTTGTGGTAAAGTAGGAAACTATAAACAAGCACTTTCAGGAAAGATTGAATAAACAGCTGTGGCAGAATAACATAAACAGTGTAGAAAGTCTCTAGCAGCCTTGAAATAGAATGAGGAAGGAGCCTGGCAATCAGTGGCTCTCGGTGGGAGCGCCTTGCTTCCCTGTGGGTGTTTGGGTGGTTGGAGATACCTAAGGCCATTTTTAGTTTTCTCCAAGTGGGGAGGGGGCGTGCGCTGGCATTTGGTGGGCACGAGCCAGGGTTGCTCAATGTTTTGTAATGCTGAGGGCAGTTCCAAGCAACCAGAAATTGTCCTGCCCTGTTTTGTCCTGCTCTTTGACAAAAACTAGTGAGTGATGTGAGATGGGGTGTACTACACCGGAAACAGGTTTTAAAAATTGAAGCTATTTTGTTCTTTTAAAAATATTATTCGACATAGAATTCCCCTTTGGAAAAATTCAGACAGAAACAAGTGATTTACTAGAGCAGTTGGGTTACTGAAAATGTGTATTTACTCTTTGTGCACTAGAAGTTGTTTTAACAGCAGAAGGCAGGGGGTATTGTTGTATCTACTGAAGTTTGGGAAATGAAGAGTTGACTGTTGGTTGAATATTGTATGAAGTTGGCCATATGATTTTTTTCTTTAAGACATCTTTTTACTCCTTGATCTGATACTCTTAAAGAAAATCACAAGGTGTTTGTACATTTATTCTTATGATCTTCCTACTTGGATATTAATTGACATTAATAATGTCATTTTATCATTAATGCAGAGAGCTGACTCATTTGAAAAGACCCTGGTGCTGGGAAAGATTGAGGGCAGTCAGAGAAGGGGATGACAGAGGATGAGATGGTTGCATGGCATCACTGACACAATGGCCATGGGTTTGGGTGGGCTCTGGGAGTTGGTGATGGACAGGGAGGCCTGACGTGCTGCGGTTCATGGGGTCGCAAAGAGTCGGACACGACTGAGTGAACTGAACTGAATGTCATTAGAATGTTTACAGTTGAGATTGTTTTCCAGTGTCTGTCCATCTTTTCAGTAACCAAATCCCCTTCTGTAAGAGATGTGCCGAAAAAGAAGTCCGAGGAGTTGAGCTGGAATGGGTCTCAAGGTTTATAGGATGGAGGAGGGGTTTTGGCATCAGTCAGATGTAGTATCCATTTCTAATACTGCCAGTCATGTGACCATAGGAAAGTTGCTAAGTCTCTGACTTTATATCTTCACATGTAAAATGTGGAAGATAATACCTACCTGTAGCATTATTTTGAAGGTTAGGGTTACTTTGTGCCTGGCATAGAGTAGTCCCTCCATAAATGGGTGCTTTATCATGATTGTGATGATGATGATGAATTCTGTAGCTACTGAACACTAGAACACATGACACTTTCCCTTGAATCAACTGTAATATGTACTGTTTTCTCTAGGTGACTAAGCTATAGAGATCAGTGATGCTGTAGACTTGAGTAGGTTTGTGAGGTTGAGGATAGAATTCCCCCCAACCTAGGTGTTGGGCATAGAGCTTCGAGTGTGGTAGAGGCAGTTAAAAAAAAAGTCTATTGTCAGTGTTTATTGCATGGAACTGATAGGCTGTGAAAGTTACTAGTACTTAGAGATGTTCTCATTTTTTTTGTACTGTTTATTTCTAAAATAAACTCCCCCATCCCCCCTACAGTGTACACATGGGCTTTATTCCAAAATTCATTTGTAAGGTAGTTTGAAACTTGGACACTTAGAGGAAAGATATTTTAAATGATTAAATGTTTGGTTAGGTTCACCTTCCAAAAGACTTGCTTAACCCAGTATAGTTTGATTCAGAAAGAGCTAACCCAATTTGATTAAACAAATGTGAATTTGTGGAGCTCCCAGTATGGGCTCCGTAGGTACCTTTCTGGGTTCGTAGGCACAATGAAACTTGATAGTGAGTGAGACGTACATACAAAGTTTGTATTTCATAAAGCAAATATACATATCAACATAATGTTGCTATTAGAAGTGCCATATTTGTTTTAAATAAACTAAGATGAGAGAAAATATCATTTATGTACTGAGGTGGCAATGCCCAAGATACATTGTTGGATGGGATAATAGTAAGTTATGAAAATTGTCTGTATAGTACTTTCCCATTTAAAAAAAAAATTGGTATTTATAGAAGAAAACAAAACAAAACACCTAGGGGCGTTTGTAAGAGTTTGGGAGGCTGGACATGATGGTGTGAGTGAGGGTTTTGGAGCCAGACAGACTGCGTGGGTTTGAATTCTATTTTGCCCCCTTACTAAGGGTGGAAGCTTGAGTGACAGCCTTTCTTTGCCTTTTACCTCGCCTATAATATGGACATAATTGCACTCACCTGTGGGGGTTGTGAGAATTAAATGAGGATACCTCATGTGTGCCAAGTTGCTTCAGTCGTGTACACCTCTTTGCGACCCTATGACTGCAGCCTGCCAAGCTCCTCTGTCCATGGGGATTCTCCAGGCAAGAGTACTGGAGTGGGTTGCCATGCCCTCACTCCAGGGGATCTTCCCCACACAGGGATCGAACCTGCGTCTCTTATGTCTCCTGCACTGGCAAGTGGGTTCTTTACCACCAGTGCCATGGATAGTGTCAAGTGTTATTTGCTTTAAACAGACAAGGAGACCCTGGAGACATGGGTTTAATCCTTGGGTCAGGAAGATCCCCTGGAGTAGGAAATGGCAACCCGTTCCAGTATTTCTTGCCTGGGAAATCCCATGGACAGAGGATCCTGGTGGGCTCCAGTCCATGGGGTTGCAAAAAGTCAGACATGATTGAGCATGCATGCATGCTCTTAAAACTCACTTCTGGGTACAAAGGAAAGATCACTTTGGTTTGGCAAGGGTGGGGAGTGATGGGGAGTGAATACCTAGAGTGATTGTACTTGGCAAAGTTCTAGGTTTTAGAAATCAGGCGCCCTGTGCCTCGAACTGCTTAGAATCTAGCCAAAAGGTTATTCTTTGTTTTCTTAGCTTCCTTTCTTTTGCGTCCTACTCCAGCTTTCTCACAGTAGCTCTCATGCTTGCAATAAAGGTGAACTGGGTCACGGCAGGGGTGAGACACAACTCTGGCCCTGGGGACAGTGGGTCAGGTGTGATTTCTGTCTTTGCTGTATGTGTGAGTGAACGGGTGGTGGTCTGTTTTTTATAGGTCACTTTGTGCAGAAATTCACATATTTAAGCATTAAACATTAAAAGTCATTTTATTCCCCTATGGAGATCGTCCTCATGAGCAAGTCACATTTTACTGAGAACACTAAAACACTGACAGTCAGAATATAACGATTTTCTGTAAAGTTCTCTAAAGTGTAAAAATTTCTACGTGAATCTCCAAGCCCTTCAGTTACATGGGCTTGGAGATTTGGGTAGAAGAAACATAAACCTGGAGTTTGATCTTGTGGTTTCTCCAATAGTAAAAGTGTCTCTCATAGCCTGAGCTGCTTTCCTCACTGATGTGGAGCAAGCAAGGTCACTAGTTCTGGCCTAGTAAATATAAATTTAGAACTTTATTTTTTTTATTACATTATGTGTATAAAAATGCTTTTTACATCTTCTTATTCCATAAATAATTTAAATAAGCATGTAAGCTTGTCATTTCATTATTTGTTCTTTAAAATGAACTAGTATTGAAATCAGGAAACCTGTATAGTCATTTATTAGGCATACATTGATAACTTTTTTCTTCTCTCTTGCAGGATTTCTGGTAGGTCCTATTTTAGGACGAGATGCAGTACTGTTGAAACGCCAGTCTGCTCTGGTTCATACAATTAGCTTTTTCAGCTGGGAAACCATTTCTTGGCCGACTTACTGAACTTATGAAACCATGGCAGAAGGAGAGACAGAGTCACTTGGGCCCAAAAAACCTGGTCCATATATCTCATCTGTCACTAGCCGGAGTGTGAACTTGATGATTCGAGGAGTAGTGCTGTTTTTTATTGGAGTATTTCTTGCATTAGTGTTAAATTTACTTCAGATTCAGAGGAATGTGACGCTGTTTCCACCCGATGTGATTGCAAGCATCTTCTCTTCAGCATGGTGGGTTCCGCCGTGCTGTGGCACAGCATCAGGTATGTGAAGGCTGCTTCTGTAGCACAGAAAGACATTGGGGTAAATGACTGTGGCTGTTGTCTGGGAACTACTTGAAAAAGTCAGCGCTCCTGGGTTGTACTTTAAATACAGTATGTGGACTTGTTCTAAGTGATCAGTTTAATGAGTTTAGATGAATCATACATTCATGTAACCACCCCCACAGTTCAGCTATAGAACATCTCTGCTGCTGCTGCTAAGTCACTTCAGTCGTGTCCGACTCTGTGATCCCATAGATAGAAGCCCACCAGGCTCCGCTGTCCCTGGGATTCTCTAGGCAAGAATACTGGAGTGGGTTGCCATTTCTTTCTCCATAGAACATTTCTAGTACCCTCTAAATTCTCTTGTGCCCTTTTGCATCCTGCCACCAGCCTCAGGCCGAATCTGGATTATTTTCACCTGTTCCAGAATTTAGTATGAATGGAATCATAGAGTTTGTATTCTTTTGTGTCTGTTTTCTATGTGACTGACCCATATGACCTTTAAAAATTCAGTCCTAAAAGCAGTCTTGATTCTCTTAGGGATGAAGCTTTTAACCTCTTAATTTTGTTCTTTCTTCAACCCATCTCATTTAAATTTATTTGAAATTATTTTGATGACACTGGTTTTAAGGTTTTGATGTGTGTTATTGTCTAGTTTTTAAAGTAGATGAAAACTTGAAAAATGAAAGATAGTTGATCCTTGAACAGCACAAGTGTGAAAGGTTATGTGTGGGTTTGTTTTTTTAAAAAATAAATATGTATCACACAATCTGAGATTGGTTGAATTTGCAGGTGCAAAACTCTGTATACAAAGGGCGAACTGTAACGTTACAGGCGCATTTTCAGTTAAACAGAGGGTTGGTGCCCTTGAGCCTCAATGTTGTTCAAGGGTTGATTATAATTTTGTACAAATTTAAAGCCTCATTTATTTTTTAGATTTTTGTATGTGTTTTTTTCCTTCATATATTGTTTTTAGATATACTTTCAGAATAAAAAATTCTTAAAGAGAAGGCAGGCAGAGTGATTAAAATCACTACTCTGCTAGCTTAGATCTCTCTCTGTGGGCGATGCATGCTGGAAAAGTTGGAGCGCATCAGAATGCTGTGTTGATGCTGCGCTTCTATAGTGGGTGGCTCTTTGGCTTTTTCTGGTGAGACCAAGAGATTACTACTATTTTATGTGATAAAGTAATAGATGCCGAAGAAAGCCATAGTCATGTGGTAGAAGAGAATTCTTTCTTTTATGAATGTCTGTTTGGTATCTCACACTTAATGTGTATCACTACGTTGCAATATAACATAGATCTTCCTTGATTTGTGTCCTAGAGCTCGAGGGCCAAGGGTGAGGAGTTAGGTGTGAGACCTTTTTAAAATGATCTTGTGAAACTTATTGGACACTTACATAATCCCATTGCGTGGATAGAAAGGCATTTTTGTGGTAAGGTTTCAGCATGGTTTATATATTGACGTCTCACTATTACAGTATTTACCTTAAAAGAGAACTTGTATAGGTGATGATTCTTCATTTCCCCAGGGCTGTTATTATTCTCTGAGAGAACAGGTGACAGTTCAAATAGACAAAGAGAAGAAAGCTTGAATTATATTTTATTATTCTCTATTGTATTCAGTATCTAGCCGTCCTCATGTATTTTCCTTTCTTTCATTTACATTCAGAAGAAAGAAGTTTTCCAGCAGCTTTTCTTCCTCTCTTCTCTCCTGTGGTGGAGCTGCTGTCCCTCTAGTAGAAGCTGCTCAGGCCTCAGACGAGCACGTCTTTTCAGAATAGACAGAAGGAGCCTCCTGGGAGGAAAAGCCTTGCTTTACCGAGTGTCTGTTGATGTTTTGGGCTGTCCCTTCATCACAGGGATCTGTAGGGCAGCCTTGGGAATGAGATCCTTGCACAGCGCCTGTTTGGAGGGTATGAGGAAACAGGAGAGGGCACCAGCGAGCCCAGGGTTCCGGAGCTGGGAGTGGTGTGGCCCCATGACACGCTGCCTCGCCTGCTGGGGAAGGCGCAGCGGGAGCCACTTATCCTCGCCCCTCTGGGCTGACGCAGCGCCTGGCCTGAAGGTTCAGCGGTGTACAGTACACTGGCCGGTGCCGCACCTCCTGGGAAAGGGCAGGAGAACTGGACTGAGGCTTCCTTGTGCCTCCCTCATGGGGAGGAGCAGGGCTCACATCTCTCCCTGCGATGTGGTCACTTTTGCCACAGACTCACATTTAGGAAGGAAAATTTCTACTGGTAATGCTGTTTCAGTCACTCTGTCCCTACTTTCCTGCCTTTTCCCAACCCCTGGCTTGTCACAGTTACCAGCTTAACTGCATATCATTTCATGTGGAGTATTTACACTTACACTCCTTGCTTAAGTGTTTCTTCTGAAAGCGGTACATTCCATGAGGTGCCCAGGCAAATGAAAGGAGAGATTCCAGTTAAATCCACTCTTGATGGTAATGGGTAGGTTTAGTAGTGTTTAGTAGGTGGGGACGAGTATATCAGGTTTGTGGAAGCTGCCAGAGATGGAAAATAGATTCTTACATAATTTCTGCCTCCCCCACACCCCAGCTCCAATTTTAGGGAACGTGTTTAAAAAAGGTAAATGCTCTGAGAAAGTGTGTACAGTTTATGTGTATATATGGTATGCATATATTTTTGTGTATATATGTTGGTGTGCATTTTCAAAGTTCTCTTCGCTCTTACCATCTCAGATCAGAAAAACTGATAATTATCCTTTGATTTTTCTGTCCAATAAATATTTGTAGACCGAGCAGCTACCTTCTGGAGCATCTCCGAAATCACCACTTTGTACATGTAAACCCTGTTCTGGGAAATTCACTAGTGATGCATCGGGAGGGGCAGCTAGTAGAGAAACCTGGTAAATTCCTTTGGATCCCATTTTCCTTTTCCTGGTTCTCTATTTTCAGTTTAATAATGGGAAGAATTTCAGGTTGGTTAACTTTTTTAACTTGCACAGAGTGTTAGAATCGGAGTTAAGAACCTCTTGAATGTGGTTGAGAGCTACAAAGGAGTATTTCTGCAGAAAAAATTGGAAAAAAGATTATGTGGCTAAAATAACTGGAGAACTTGACTGACAAATTATTAGTAACTAGACTGTGTCCATGCCTATGAAGTGAATATCTTATTTAAAAATGAAAAACAAACATCGTTTCTGTTGACCCACACAGTCGGTCACCCAGTTACTGGAGAGCCTTACAGGCCCCTCCCTTTCTCTGTCATGGCCCGCACCCGGTTTCCAAGTTTTCCATCTCTCCCTTGCCTCATCTTGGTCTAGGCCCTCAACTGCTCTGCTAGGAATTTTCAGTCATTTTTTTTTTTTCTGCCTTGGATTTTGTCTCCCTTGCCACCCCCACCCCCAAGCCCCTCCTTTCCTGTCCTGTGTTAGACCCTCACTGCTGGAAGAACATTTGTCCCTCTATCTGGCACAAGTGTGATGGTGTTATTTTCCCGGTGACTGTGGGAAAAGTCTCTTTGCATGGCCTGTGTGCTTTCCTGGTGGATCTAGTGGTAAAGAACCTGCCTGCCAGTGCAGGAGACATAAGAGACATGGGGGCATGGCAGCCCACTCCAGTATTCTTGCCTGGAGAATCCCATGGACGGAGAAGCCTGGCGGGCTACAGTTCATGAGTTGCAAAGAATCAGACACAACTAAAGTGACTTAGCACATGGCCCCTGCCAGCTTGTATCCTTCTCGGAGAATTCCTCTACTCTAAAACTCTTTCTGCCTAAAGTTACCAGTTTCTAGATGATACTAGGAATTTTCTGTTGTCTGTGCTTTTCTTCAGATGTTTCCCTTTGATTAGAAAGACGTTTCTAGACTACCCAGCCGCTGAACACTCTGCCTTAAGGGTCACCTCTTCTGTGCTGCTGTCCTGGCAGGCTTACCCCCTCCTCCCCTGGCATATGGCAGGAGAGACCGGACCTTCGGGCCCTGTCAGTGCTGCGCCAACACGTTACTTGATCAGATTGTTTCTGTGGTCACCTGGGGACTGAGTCACGTCGTACTCATTTACCCTTTTTAAATCCCCAGCAAATATGAAGAACCAGACACGGGTTCTGCTGCTTGTTAGATGAACACACTGTCGTCGTTTTCCGTGAGAGTATGTCTCATTCCGTGGTGGTGCTTGTTCAGCTCCCTTTCCTTGAAAAATGTTTGACTTAACTTTTTCTTTTAGTGGAGTGCTGCATTAAACACATTACCGTGAAAAATAATGACTTGATGTTTTACAAACTTCCCTTGTTTTTGGTCTTGGTAGCCTACAATTAGTTACTGGGAAATAACTGAAGTATATCCCAAGAAATGTGATTTTTGCCACAGAGAACCATCTGATTAAGCAGGACTGTGTTTGCATATGGTTTTACACAGGCATGATTTTTAGTCTCTCTTGTTAAAATAAGAAAGTGGAGGAAGAGGACGGGAAGCCCAGACGCATTTCTGCTGACCTCTCAGCAGTGCAGCCTTCCTGTGCTGGAGATACTGCTCTCAGGCTCTGCCAGGCCTTTATTTAAAGGAAAGAAAAAAGACATTTAATGGGAAGTGACAGGCTCCCTCGAATTCTCCCTCTCAGTGAGCATCTGAGAGCCATGCAGACTCGATGGATTTGATTTTTATTGGCAGATCCCAAGGTTGGCAGCGTGGCAGTTTAAATTTCTTTTTGTGTTTTCACTTTCTCTCCTCAGTTGTCTCTCACTTGTGAGTCTGACATCACATGCATTAAAATATAGTCAAGTTTACTTATTTATGTCTTTGCCCACACATGTCAGTACTCTCTATGTGATAATTCTCTACCTATGGCATCAGCTGCCGAGGAAAATTGACTTGGAATGCCTGATCTTAGTTGGTATCCTCCGAAACAGGCAAAGGAGGGGAAGAGGGAGCAAGAGCAGGGAACAGCACATCGAGCTGCTAGTTTCCTGACCCCTGAGAACAAAAAAAGAGCGAGCATTCATTCGGATGTATTTCAACTGGTAGGCATACTTGTTGCCACTTTAACTTTGTAGAAATTTGGAAACACTGTCAGTCAGTCTCACACGATATTAGAGCAGAACCTTTTAAATAGGAATATAATTTGAAACTTTGAAATTTACTAGTAGTTGTTGGAGCTCTGCATTGCTGAAATGTGTTGCTCATGTCTTGATGGTCTGTGAATCATTTATCCACAGCAAAAGCCTAATCAGAAGAGCCCGTTCAGTTTTGTGGATTAGAAAATGTATATATCATTGCAACATCTCAAATCCAGATGGCATGGTGGCCATGTGGCCTGTTTTCTATGCTGTTCCATTTGTCTGCTAGCCTGTGATTTTTTTATATTAATTGATTTCTATTTTTCCTTGAAGATAGAATGCATTGTTTGTGAGCTAGAGCTAGCCAATACCAGCCTAGGCAAGGGCTTCTAACCCTTTGGTCACTTAAGTTTGGGTACCATAATTTCATGATTCATTGTAGGTAATACTGGACATTTTAAGCATACTTTTCAACCATTGTGACAGTTGTGTTTTTATTACCAAATGGCAGCATAAACATTCTGTTTTTAGGAAGATTATCAGACTAAAGCTGCCCAGATATTTCCTATTAAATTTAGTCTGTAGAAGTACATTTTCTTCATAACTTGTTGAAAAATGTTTTGGTTCATGAAATACTCTTTTTTTTTTTTAATGAGTAACTTAGCATTTTAAATCCTCTACCACTAAATGAGTAAAATGTTGAGGTTTGACAAGGATTTAAGTTAAAAATTGAATTACTCATAATTAATTGCACTGTTAGCTTTCAATATGTTCTTTCCAAAATGAAGAAATATTCTAAAATGATTTCTTCTGATCTTTTTAACAGTGAATTTCAGTTTTTACTGAAAACTTGTGATTCCGTATACCATATTTTCTCCATTTTTCCTCTGCAGGATGAGTCTTAGAATAGATTTCTGTTGTGAGTTGCCCTGCTTTGACAAGCTGACCTAGAGTCTCATGAGAGGGCCACATTGGAAGGGAGCGTCAGGACAAGACACTGGATGGGGGGACAGGGTCCTCTGTATTACAGTGTAGCCATAGCCAGCTAGTAGTACCTGTGTGATGAGCTTGTACATGTTTACGCTTCAAGCTTCTGTTTAGATTTGTGTCATTTCATGGCATGTTGCATGATTATATAGCTTAAAGAGAACATTACTTAATTGCTAACTGGTTTGATGGTTTCCAAGTCTCAGAGATATTAGTAGTAGAACAGTGGTGTGACTCATCTCTAGTCCAGTCTGTTGAATTCTCAATCATACAATGAAATACTGTTTTGTCTGTTGTAATTGAGACTGCTGTTGTAATCATTTACAGTGCTGTCTTCAGTCGTGTTATCCTCACTTTTTTTTTCTTTTGGGAGGTAAGTTTATAGTATCAATGATTAATGTTAAGTAAGTTGAAAAGCTTTTCTAGAGAATCTTTCAAATGCTTATGATGGTTGTTGTGACCCTTAGCTTAACCGTTGGAGATGACTTAATTTTTTGCTTTTCTCCCCCACAGCTGTGATTGGGTTATTATACCCCTGCATTGACAGGCATCTAGGAGAACCGCATAAGTTTAAAAGAGAGTGGTCCAGTGTGATGCGGTGCGTAGCCGTCTTTGTTGGTATAAATCACGCCAGTGCTATATCCTTTCTGCTGCGATGAGATGCGTCATAACAAGGCAGCTTCTGAGAAACCAAAGGTTAAGCAGACCCTTGCAACCTCACTGTTGTCGAATTGTGATATACCCACTTAGTCATAAAAAGAACACGTGCCACATTGTTGAAGCATCTATGCAAGTACAGTGTGGGGTCCAGCCTTTCACTTCAATCCGTATTTTTTGATATCACTCAGAAACTTTGTATATTAAAAAAAATTTACCTATTTTTCTTTGAATTAGGTTACTTAATTACCTCCATCTAGTTTTGCTAGCTGTAACATTGAAACAGGTACATTTTCAAAGGGATTTCTTTTCTTTCTTTCTTTAAGATTTGCCAGTAAGGACATGTGACTTCAGGTACTAGTTGTTTTTTTGTTTTGTTTTATTTTTTAATTTGAAATATATATATATATATATATATATATATATATGTATGTATATATACTTTCTTTTTTTTAAAGACTATCATTTGTTGGTGTTAATCAACACCCACAAACCACATAAATGTTCTTAAAAGGGGCAGAAGTAGAAGTAACCAATTTATTGACTGTGTTCAAAAAGAACCTCTTTTTCCTAAGTCACATATTCTTAAAGTTTGATCATTTTAAGGATTCTGACATTTTAATCTACTGATTCATGAGTGTTTTCATAATGTTCTGGCTTGAAGGATAAAGTAACCTCTATTTCCCATCTCTCCTCTGCCTTCTACCCCCTCCCCAGCAAAAGATGTCCTCCCAAGAACAAAAGCTTTTGCCCTCATAAGGTTTTTATCCTGTCATCCTCTCTGCCTCCTACCTGAACCCCTGTCCCTGGCTTCCCTCTGTAGAAGAGGATCTGGGAAATGCTAGTTCAGTTTTCCCTTTTCTAGAAGATATGGCTTAGAAGGTGAAGTAAAGAGAAGACCTGTGACTCAGACTGTGAGGTTTCCTCTTGAAACTCTGTGCTGGGCTTAGTTAGCTGAAGAGAGGATGTGTCATAGGGCAAGGAGATTACAGTGTCTTTTAACAGAAAGTATCAAGGTGATTGTTTGGGAGAAGCTGGAGAAGAGGAACCGAGGAAAGAAGCTGAGTCCTAGATTCTGAAAACACATCTTATCTTTCTGTTCCCAGTTGTGTTGGTTCTTAGAGATCTGTGAAGCTACTGGAAAATGCCTCAGTGGCTCTTACTTTTGATTTTTCCCTTTCTTGTTGTCTTAAGAGAGTTTCTCAATATGTTTAGTTTTGTGAAATCTTTAATTAGGATTTTATAACAAACAAATCTAGTGGTTAGGGCTTTAGAAAGACAGACTCATAGAATATTATATCTAGAGGAAAACTTAGAAACCTTCTAGTTCCATGTTTTCTTTATTAAGAGAAGTGAAAGCTCTAGAGATTCGGTACTTGGCTAAGTAATTCATACTGCAAGACTGTGCCAGAGCCGAGGCCAGACCCTGGTGAGTGTAGGAACTTTCCTTTTCTGACCCAGGAGCCCTACAAGTGTGTAAATTCATCTCTGTCTGCTGGACTAGACCTTTCTAGCCTAGACAGTTCAGTTCTTTTTAAGTTGAGAAATTTAAATAACCTTTTCTGGAATTTAAAAGATTTATATGTCTATTTTAAATTCTTCGCTTTGGTGGTTCTTTTCTTTCTCGCTAAATGAAATCCTTAAATATAGCCATCTCACCTGTTCTGTTCATCCTTTAAGCAAAATCCAAAATGTTTACAGATTTTAAAACACAGACTTAATATTAGGTTGTTTAGACTTTAGAAAGTCACATTATAATATTTTAAAGATTGATGTTTTTACCTGTTCCCTGGAAGTCTCCTTATTTTGCTTTGACTCTTACAACAAAGTTAATTTAGTTAACAGAGATAGAACCCAGTTAATGTTGAACTCCGTTCATTACAAGAGTGTTTATTACATAGAGAAATCAGCGAACTCAAGCATTTTTTTGGAGTTGGAGGTTTAAAAGCCTCTAAAGAATAAAAGATTTTTCAGAAAGCATACCCATGGACTATAGGTTTCTTTATAAATCAAGCCTAAACAAGGACTGATTTTGAGTGGTCTGTGACTGCTGAGACATAAGCAGGCTGGGTGTTCAGGGTGCCCACTGGTTGAGTAGGAGAGAGGGGATGGTTATACAGCACAGTGTTAAAGGAAGTGGAAAATAGTTTTATATGCATTTTTGGAGCTTGTTCTCTTTTCTCTGTAGTTGCGGCATGGCCAGTTAGTTTGGCAAGATATGTAGTCTCCTCTGGGGAAGTGAATATAGAGCCAAGATGTGGCCTTTGGGACATAGATAATGCCCTTTTAATGATACTTGAAATTAATTCCTTTAGTGTAATCCTCTAGCAAAGAAATTAGAAAATTGAATTTATAAAGCTTCATTTTGCCCAGAGATTTTGGAGTAGAAAAGGGCTGTATATTTGTGAATAGATGCTTAAGTAGGTGATGGAAATAAAATATCATTTGAGCAAACTGTCCTATACCAGAAAGTCTCAGGAACCAAAATAGCTTGGCAGGTTGGAAGATAATGTTCACTTCAAGGCTTTCTCCTCAACAAATTAAAACTAGAACAGTTGACATAATAGAAAGGGATAGTGTGTCCTTGGTACTCTTGTTTCTGAACTGCATTATTATAAAATGTGTCTGTCAGTAAATCATATAGGGACTGTGGTACCCTGTTAAATAGCTGTCAACTCTTCTATTTTCAAGTTCCTGTATGATTCTCAAACAATTCTAAACCTGTTTGAGAAGTAATAGTGGTTTCCATTTTAGCAAAAGTGTGTGCCTTTAGCAATACTTTTATTTTGAAGCTTCCAATTACATATTTTGTGAAGAAAGCATTTCTTAAATAATGGGTCTGATTTAATAATTGGAAATGTATATAGTGTGCCATTTTTTGGAGAGATTGCATGTCACATCAGTAAGATCTATTAGTGAAGTATCATGCCATCATAGTTTTAATCCTGTCTAGTCTTGTACATTGTGTTAAAAATTGAATGTGCTCCAGTCTTATCATTAACATCTCTTATTTTAGAAAAATGAACAGATGATATTATTTAGTTACAAATTTTTTTTTGTAACAAATTTAATGAATACTTTGTTTTTTAAAATTTGTTTGTTTATTTTACTTTACAATATTTGGTTACAAATTTTAAGATGACTCTTTAACACTGACCTCAGAAAGTGGATTTTGATAACAACATACAGTTGTCTCTCACACTGGCTGCACTATCCATTGGATTGTGGTGGACTTTTGATAGATCTAGAAGTGGTTTTGGCCTTGGAGTAGGAATTGCTTTCTTGGCAACTCTGGTCACTCAGCTGCTAGTCTATAATGGTGTTTATCAGTAAGTATTCTTTTGGTACTTGTTTCCTAAAATAATGATAAGTGAATTCAGAATTGAGATTTTATTTATTTTTTATTTATTTATTTATTTTTTTTAATTTTTTTTTCAGAATTGAGATTTTAAAATTGCATTAGCCACTTTAATTTTCAGTGTAACTTACTTCCATTGTAATTATCTTAATAGTGTCATTGTGCTTACTTCCTTTGTGAGTTGTTAAAAATGTTTCTGTTATTCTAGATATACATCTCCAGATTTTCTCTATGTTCGTTCTTGGTTACCATGTATATTTTTTGCTGGAGGCATAACAATGGGAAACATTGGTCGACAACTGGCAATGGTAAGCTCATGCTTATTTAGTCACCTTTTTGTTTTTGAGATGTAAGATAAATTTCCTCCAAAGGGCAGTGGAATAAATCACTTGGAAGGATTTAATCGCAAGTGTATTAAAAAATAGAAAGAACCTCTGGATAGAAAATCTAAAATATGTTACTGATAGGTGATATGATTTATCCTCCAATTTTTATTATTTTACTCCTCTATACATTTCTACTCCATGAAAAAGGGACAGTTTTAAAAGTGAGAAGAGGCACTATTTATAATAATGTTGCTATAGTAGATATAAATTAGGACTATTTCAGCAAATCAAGATGTTTGATCACTTTAGTTAAGAAGGAAAAGGACATTGTTGATAAGCCCAGCTATAGATGTCAAGTAAAGGAGTAGCATTCAGATGCCACAGCACTTCCATGAATAAGTGCTGTCACTTTTACCATTTTAGCCAGCTGAGAGAATTGAGTGGTTTACAATGCTAGATTTGGTAACCTAATCTCTAAGTTATCCTAAGTCCATTGGTTTACTTTATTTTGAATTATGAGTATACATTTTTATAGCTCTATTTCTAAAATATTGTTTTGATTTGAAGCTTTTGCTGATATAGTAGATTTTTTCTTTTCAAATTTAAAGCTATTTGAAAAAATATCCAAATTTACGATATTAGTCCTGTCCTTAAGTGTGTGATGTTTCCTTTGCTTGTATGCCTTAGTGAGTGCACACAGAAGTATATTTTGCCTTCTTTTATATTGTAGGATTGATCTAAATTATATACTGTTGTCATTTGCTTGTAATGCAGAAATCTCATTTTTTCCTGCTTTTGGCTATGCCTCTAGAATGTGAGAAGGCGATGGCAGCCCACTCCAGTACTCTTGCCTGGAAAATCCCATGGATGGAGGAGCCTGGTAGGCTGCAGTCCATGGGGTCGCTAAGAGTCGGACACGACTGAGCGACTTCACTTTCACTTTTCACTTTCATGCACTGGAGAAGGAAATGGCAACCCACTCCAGTGTTCTTGCCTGGAGAATCCCAGGGACAGGGGAGCCTAGTGGGCTGCCGTCTATGGGGTCGCACAGAGTCAGACACAACTGACGTGACTTAGCAGCAGCAGCAGCAGCTAGAATGTGAATTTTCTTTTTTCCTATCATAATGGTGATTTAATAGTTGTGCAACTAATAGTTGTGCAACTCTCAGATTCTTTGAGGAATACAGTGGGCATATGCTAATGAACTATTACATTTAGACCTTTTTAGTTTATATGGAAATTGCTATTCAAAATTAACTTTGTTAACCTTTTATTTAACCTTTTAATTTTTACAGTATGAATGTAAAGTTATTGCAGAAAAATCTCATCAAGAATGAAGAAGGCAGAAATATATCTTTTGTACAGAAAAGCAAGATGAAAAAGGCATGCAAATGATAGATAGACCAACAAAACTTCGGACTATAAAATTGCCAGGATGCAGTTTTTCCCTTGATTGGTGTGTATATACACACACACACACACACATATACATATATATACACACATACATATGTTACTGCAATCTGTGATTGCTTCATCTGTAAATCAAGTACAAGCCTTTATGTATTTGACTTAAATAACTGTAAAATATATGTATGCTACATTAAAAAACATGTTGATTAATAGATGACATTTTTAAATTAATTTTTTAGGTATACCATATATCGTATCACAGTGTTGATGTGCCAAAATAATTCTGTTACCGTCATGCAGACTATAAGAGTGCTTTGAACAATTTATAAAGTTGATGAAATAAAATATGAGGAAAGCCAAAAAAAAAAAAAGCAAATGGAAAGCTGGTATATTCTCTTTCACTTACTGTTGTGCCTTTTTATTTTCTAATTACAGCAGTGTGAGTTATGGGTGCCTAATGTGTGGTTAGTTTCTATTTTAATGTCATCTCAAAGAGCTTTGGGTGTTTAAATATATAATGAAAAAGAACTTCCTTGGAATATTTGCAAACCTGAATTACTGGAGAGAGTTCAAAGTAATTTTTTGTTTTGACCGATTTTACTGGAGGTAAAAAGTGACAAGTGGGAGAATTTATCAGCATTAAACTGTTTTGAGTCTAAATCTAGAAATTAAAAGTAGGGACCATTGAAAAATTTAACTGGAATAAATATGCTTTAGAAATTCAAAATGACCTTCTGCAGTGCCACAGTGTTAAGTGATATTAACTGTCAATTACAATGTAGTATTCCACTACTTTTGTACATTGAATGTATAAGAAATCCCAAACAGGTCCAAATGAAATTTCTAATTCTCTTGGGTTCTATAATCTATTGGATTCTATAAAGTAAACTGGGCTGCATCATATGATTTATTGTCAGCGGATTGCCATCTGGGGAGTGGATGGGCACATAGTGTCCTATGTATTCATGTACTCATTAGTGAATACTTCAGGAATGTATTATTTAAGACTGAATTGGGATGGCATACTGTGCACGTTAAAGATCCCCATAATAGTTTCATGCATATCTTTCCAACAGCTGGAGCCTTTGAAGTATGATTTAAACATACTCTTAATTAACTTTTTTCCCCAATTTTTTTTTTTTAAATAGATGGCATTTCTGATACACAAGGGCAAAATCTTCTGTTTACTCTGGAAGTGTGTGTGGTTTTTTTTGTATGTATCTGTATGTGTTGGATATGTGTTGGATTGAATGAGGGAGAGAATGTATATGTGTGTGTATGTGTGTGTGCATGTGCTCCTGCTCTTGTAATGTCAACTAGATGTTTTTTCATTTTTGATTTTAAAACCATCGCTATCAGACTGAGATCTTATATGCCAAACTTTAATCTGCTCTTATGTTTTAAGGCTGAAAGTATGAAAATCCTAAGATTTCATATTGAATATATGTACACAATCTTAACTGTAGTGGTGGTAAACATGCTACTATAATTTATTATTCTATCTTCCAGATAATGTTATTCATTTAGAACAAATAAGGTATATTTTTAGAATCAACTTTGTAAGCACTATAAATCTTTAATAAGTTATAAGGTCTATGATGTGTTTACTTTGGAAATTGCTGTTTAAAGCAAGATGTATTAAATATATAATTATCATCTTGGTTAAGAGTCTTTCTTCTTTGTGGTTAATCTTAGAATTTTATTACTGAGGATTAATTTAATAAAATTTAACATGCATGGTTGAATTTATTAAGAAAAATGAAGGAAACTGGTATTAGTTTAGTATTACAGGAACTGAATGATTATTACTTTAAGTTCTTGAATTATTTTCCTATCACCTAGAAAACAGGAAAAGGTATTTCTGACAAAAATAAAATTGTTTTGATATTTTGATAAGTATATTAAATTTTTTTCTTGGCAGTGGAAGAAGATGGTAAATGTATTTTAATACGGATGTATTGGCAGTGCTTCCTGGCATTTATTATTTAAGGTTTCACATGTTGACTAGTTGAAAACAAACTTAAATTCTATGAAAGCGCAAATAATTAAAAGTAACTAGCAAGAACCCTGGTCATATTTTTGTTATAATCTTTATTTTGTTTGCACTGAGCTACTTTACTCTCATTGAGGTCATTGGGTCCTCTCTGTGGTGCATCTGTTTCACACATCTAGGGGAAATCCAGGTTTGGTCAACATCGTTAAATACTTCTGTGACCTTTTGGCTCACTTACCTGGATAATGACATAATGTTCTTTGTAAGGTAATTCTGCAAGTGATGGTCCATGAATAGTAGAGTCTTAGCTTTGTGTGTATGAAAAATCATTCTTGAAGAGCAGTTTAGCAGGCCATAGAGTCTAGGTTCACAGTCTCCCCTCAGTCCCACCACTTTGAAGATTTTTTTAAGTTGTCTTCTGTCATCTGATGTTGCAGATGACAAGTCTCCTACTAGTGTAATTTTCTCCCCTCTGTAGGTAAATCTGTCTTGTCTTTCCAGGAACTTTTCCACGACTTCCCCTTTATCCCTGAGGTTATTTGGCCTTCCCTGGTGGCTCAGATGGTAAGGAATCCGCCTGCAATGTGGGAGACCTGGGTTCGATCCCTGGGTCGGAAAGATCCCCTGGAGAAGGGAACAGCTACCCACTCCAGTATTCTTGCCTGGAGAATTCCATGGACAGAGGACCCTAGTGGGCTATAGTCCATGGGATTGCAAAGAATCTGGCACGACTGAGCGACTAACACTAACATGTCTTGTCTCTAGTTGCTTTTTCATAAGTTTCCCTTTATCCTTGAGGTTATTTAGTTTCACTTTTACTTGTTTCATTTTATAATTTGTTTTCATTTTTCTTGGTTAGTATTCAGTACGCACTTTCATTCTGTGGGCTCATATCTGGAAATTTTGAAGTCTGAGTGCATGTTAGAGTCCTCTGAAGTCTTATAAAAATATGCTGATCATGAATCCCACTCTCCGAGACTCTTAAATATATTATAATTGACCTGAGGTGTGCGCTGAGCATTAGGAGTTGCATAAGTTCCCCATGTGATTCTAATGTGCAGCCCAGGTTACCTCTCACAGGTGTAGATACATGTAATACAAGGTGGAGGTTCTGGGTGAGAGAGATGTAGTGACTTTGCAAGTGACAAGTGAGGAACGCATTGAATTACATTTTGGATTAGATCATGTGAACTTGTTTACTTGGGTATAAGTTTTTAGGAAGAAGAAATGTGAAAGGTGACTTAAGTTTCCTTTATTGAAAAAGTAAGTGGATGGTATTTCCATAAACCAAAAGAGAAATGCAGAAAAGTAGATGAATAGATAAGAGTTTGATTTGATATATTGAGGCTGAGGTGTGTAGAGGGCAACTGGTAAAGATGATTATATGCAGTTGGATATTTGAGTCTGTGTTATTGGATGTAATGAGGGAGTCGTCAGCATATGACAGTAATAAATGCAGCTGTAGGTGTGGATGAGATCACCTAGGGAGCATGTTACAGTGAAAAGAAGGAGATCTGAGGCATACTGGCCTGTGGGCAGAGAAGCTGGTGAAGGAGTTGAAAGGGTTGTGGTCAGAAGTGGGAAGGAAAGCAGAAGAGTGATATGGAAGCCAAAATAGGAGGGAATTTGAGGCGCGGTAACTGGTAGGATGAAGTGCAATTGAAAGGAATAATTGACTTCATAAGAACAGGAAGTAATACCTTATTGTTCTATGTTGACAGTTTTTTCCTAACCTATTTTACCTTAACATTTAAAGTTTATCATTGTATACTAATAACTCACAAAACATCTTTGAGAAAAGCCTGATCATGTGGGGTTTCCCTGGTGGCTCAGACAGTAAGGAGTCCGCCTGCAATGCAGGAGACTCGGGTTTGATCCCTGGTTGGGGACGATCCCCTGCAGAAGAAAATGGCTACCCACTCCAGTATTCTTGCCTGGAGAATTCCATGGCTGGACGAGCCTGGCAGGCTACAGTCCATGGGGTCTCAAAGAGTTGGACATGACTGAGTGGCTAACACTGATGATGTACTGTCATTTGTTTGAGTGAGGGGAGCTGGGGCAACTAGAGAACTTTGGAAGAATGGTGGAGATTTGGGATATAACTATGAAGAATGGGCTTAGGAACTGACTTGAAGCAAAGAAAGACTTTTCAGATAGTTCTGAGGCCATCAAGGACCCAGGTAAGGCTAGAGATCAGTTGTTTGCAGCAGAGCCAATTGACATGATTGTGTCATGTCCAAGTGGGCTAGTAGCCCAGGAGTTAGGCCATTTGTGATGAGTATATTGAGTCTAGTGGAGAGTTTGTTGGTAGACATGGCACAAGACTTTGTGGTAGATTAATGGAGGTTCCTAATGCAACATCAAGAGATTTATTGTGGAATCCAGACAAACTGAGGAAGGAAGTTGCATCAGCAGTGCTAACTTGACAGCATGGGAGGACAGTGTGATGGTGAAGGGACAGCAAGTCTGAGGAGGCCAAAGACCCTGTTTGATGGGAAGGGTGATAGGCTTGAGGTTTGTAGTCAGAGGAATTTAGTGGCTCATTTAAAGATCTCAAGGTCCAAGATGTGATCTGAACAACTGTATTTACATAATTCACAGAAGTGGGTGGAGGTCCAAGGCCTGGGTGACCAGCTGTTGGTAGCAGTATGGATGCTACTGAAATGATTGATCCCAGAGGCTGGGTGGAAAGGAAGGTGTCCTCTGTAGTCCTAATGCCCATTTGAATGAAACAGCTTATCCAAATGCTTGATGGTATTGGAATTCTAATTAGAGTCCCTTCCCCTCTTTATGTGCTTATTTTTAGTTGTTTCAACATCCTAGGTGATCTAAAAACTCAGGCTGTTTAGGAGGAAATCATCTGCTGATCCTGTTCAATCAGAGATCGTCTGTTTAGTTCTGGATACTTTTTTTCCTCTCTTTATTGTTCCT